GAGGGATGACTTTGAGGCACGTCTGCAATAACTCAAAGGACTGTGGGCCGTCCTGAAAGGGAGTGAGGCCGGAGGCCGGACGGGCGCAACATTGATTGCGCGGCGCTGCTGGTCGGAGGCCATGAGTGCCTGAAGCACCCTGCTGAGCTTTTCACAATACACAGTTGTTGAACATACGAGTTTTGCTAGTGATGTTGCGTCTCGCTCACACTTCGACAAGAGCGCAGGGGCGTCAAGGACGGAGGCGTCGTGACTAGGAAAGAGTGAACAAGCTGCGAAAGGGAGGGGTCACCATTGCAGTTCAAAGGATCGTCTGCGAGGAGTTATTCGCTTGTTGGTCATACTTTTCGGCCCTCGTCGTGGCGTTTTGATTACGTCTTGATTGTTCTTGCTATGGTATGGCTGCCATTGTGGGGCCCTCAGGTGTGTCAAGGCAACAAGGCCCTCTCCTGCGAGTTGAGTATGTCCGTCTCCTGTACCTCGAGAGTCGCAAACCCCTACTTCTGCCCTTCTTACTCTAAGTCTACTCCTGTTCAGAGAGGAAGGTGGCAAGCGGGATTGCAACCCGTAGGACCGCATCAAGACTCTGTGGGGAGTCAACCCACCGATTGCGGGAGCTCTGCCGAAACTCAAGAGGAGTTCTGGAGGTAGGGAACTGAGAGGTAATCCTTGCTTTCCTTCTATAAACCCAATTAAACTGCACCCCTTGCTATGTTTTGACTGAATATACTGTGTGCATCCCTCATTTCTTTTAGTTTGACTTTCAGGACACTACCCAGACTAAATAAAAGAATGTGTGTGCAATGTAGTTTCAGTTTTTGGTTGTCTGACTGAAAGCAGATTGTGGGGTTGCATTTGGGGGAAGGATGGGAGGAAGGTTATATTGTCTGAGTTTGACTGGGTCAACCAAAGGCTGGGAGAGTCTCCATAAGTTTGGAGGGCCCAGTGCTATGTTTATTTTGGATTGCCTGAAGGACCAGACAGGTTCTAATAAGTTTGGGTGGTTTGGTTGCTTTGACTTGCGAGGGCTGAATATGATTGCCTTTTCTGGGACCAAGCATTTTTCCATAAGTTTGGATGGCTTGGTCGCCTTTTCTTTCTTTGGGGTTTTCTGTATGTTTATTTGGTTTCTGAAGGAGGGTTGAACATTTTTCCATAAGTTTGGATGACTCTGACCCTCTTTGTTTCATTTCGAGGGAGGATTTTGGCGACAGACCGGACAGGTTCCCATAAGTTTGGGAGGTTTGGTCTGAAGTCACGCACATGCTAGAATCAGAAGGTAAAACTTGTTTATATTTTATATTATATTACTTATGAACAGGCTAGTCAGACATTTTTCCATAAGCTTGGATGGTCTGACTGTAGCTTATCATAAATGAAGAGAGTATTAATTAAGAATAAACTTGTGGTAAGAAGGGGCAGGCTGGACCTCGAACTAAGTTGATCGGTTCAGTCATATGCTACCTTATAAAACTAAGGGCAGACAATTATATATAATTTGGATACTTAAACAGTTCAGGGCGACTAAGGCGGCCTAGTCATCTGCCCAAAGAAGAGAAAAGTTGTTGTGCCCTGTGTCTGTGTATATTCTGGCTGAGCTAGGCAGGTTCCCACAAGTTTGGGTGGCCTAGCTTTATGCCTTATGTAAGTTGGGTATAAGGACATAAATCATTGAAAGATTACGAACTATTATTTCACAAGATTGATTTTGGGATGGTGAGAGTACTTACCTTTGTGGTTTGGCTTGCATGTGACCGAGTGAGGCTACTACCTAGTCTGAGTTTTAGGTTGATAGGTAGTTGCTTTAGTTGCTCGCCACGTGCTAGAGCCATAAGAGTTAGTTTCAATTTCTTGCATTTTCTAAGCTAAGTTTTTTTTACTTAGATCAATTTCTGCATTTTTTGTGATCTTTTGTTATACTTGGCCTTGTATAAAATTTCAAAACCTACTTTCTCTACGGGAAGCGCTGCCGAAATTTCTACAAAAACAAGGAGTTAGTCAGACTTTGTCTTTTCAAAGTTCAACTTATCTGACTTTTATATATGACTTGGTAAAAATCTGGAAAGTCTCCTTTTCTAAAAGAAGTGTTGCCCAAATTTTTGCTAATTCAGGGAGTTAGATAAAATTGGACCTTGAGAAGTCAAAGTCATTCTTAGATTTTAAACTTAGCTTTGTATATATCTTGGAATAGCGTTTTCTCTACGGGAAGCGCTGCCGAAATTTCTACAAATCTAAGGGGTCAGTTGAACTTTGTCTTGAAGTCAAACTCAAGTCTAACTTTTATCGTCTGTTCGGCGAGTTGCGACCATTATCGGTCCCCTATAATCTTAGGTTTGCAGGCGTTGCAAATCCCGCAATCATCGTCTGTTCGGCGAGTTGCGACCATTATCGGTCCCCTTAGGACGACGGGAATCGGTTGCCATGGACATCACCGGGCCATTTCCCAAGCATAAGACGGGTATGGATGGGATTCTCATGGTCGTCGATTGACTCACCAAGTTCGCCATGTTTTTGCCTTATCGCTATCATGTCGAGGCACCAGAGTTGGCCGAGGTTCTTTTTGCCGGTTGGATTCGTACCAAGGGTTACCCCAAGGAGATCGTTTGTGACCGCGACACTCGGTTCATGTCCGATTTTTGGTCGACTCTCATCAAATGATGGGGCTCATCTCTCAAGCCGAGTTCGACTCACCGCCCACAAACTGAGGGCCAGACGGAGAGGGCGCATCAAACCGCACAGATTCTTCTTCGCACTTTTCCGTCCCAACCAAAAGGATTGGGTTGAGCAGCTGCCGGACATCGAGTTGGCTTATTACTCGTCCATTCATCCGGCTATCGGGATGTTGCCCTTTGAGTTCGAGCATGGCTCGCCGGTCACATCGTCATTGGACACCATCATCCCACGGGCGACTGAGAGCGACGACCACCTTGTCTTCATTCGACGGATGCAAGAGCTCCTTGTCAAGGCACGGGACCGGATGTCGAAGACATAGCAACGCATGAGCCTTCAGGCCAATCGCCAGCGTCGTCCTTGTCCGTTCCGCGCAGGCGACCTTGTTTGGGTTTCGGCCATGGAATTCAGCCTCGAACAAGATCTCTCTCCCAAGCTCCTTCCGGAATGGATGGGGCCGTGGCACATTGTAGCACCCGCAGGTGTCGCACCCGAAGGATCATTTGTCATTCAGGTGCCCGCCCGCTTGCCCGTCCACCTGGTCTTTCATTGTTCAAAGTTGGTTCTTTTTGTTTCGGCGGAACGCAACTACTTTCCCGGGCGACGATCACAAGACCCACCCTTCATGGACGGTTTTCAGAGGTTAGCAACATCATTTAGCAGCGGCGCTATGGCACCAAGGCGACGGAGTACTTAGTACACTTTTCCTATTGTAGCCATAAGGCTGAACGTTAGTTGACCTGTGCGGAACTTCAGGCTACAGCCCCCGATGTCCTCGCACGTTACGAACACAAACAACAAGGCAAGCCGGCACCTTCGGCTCTACGTTGTACTCGCGTCCAGGGTCCACCTTCGGATTGTCAGCTTCTCCCTCGACCCGGCTTGACTTCATAAGGAGGGGGGGGGGTGTTAAATGATGAGCCTGCACACGGGCCCCATTTTGGGGGCCGACGGTTGCTGGGGGGCCCCAGGCCGCACGCCCTTTGGACATGCGCCCTGGAGGCCCACACCCGGCCTTAGGGCCACAGGATTCGATTTGAGGCAGCATTCATGTTTATTTATTTATTTAGTTGCTCTCCTATTTTTGTCTGTTCGGGCGTGTTTTTGGACTTGCTGTTCGTCCGAACAGACTTTTGGTCTTTCAGACAAGGCCACGTTTTTGGCCTGGTACGGACGTAGGCAGGCCCTGTTGGGCCAGGTCCACTTTTGTCCGATAGCGGACAATCCCTGCTGCATCAGCAGGGAGGGCCTGGACGTCCGGTTGGGACCCAGGCAGGCCGTTCAGGCCTAGCACCAGAGGCACACCCGCAAGGCCCAGCGCTACTTATACCTGGGCCAGGCCAGGGCAGACACGCAGTTTGAGTAGCTCACTTCTTGGGCCACACGCTGCTGGAGCAGCGCGACACAGCACTGCGCTAGGTGTAGAGGCGTAGGTATGAGGTGAGGCGGAGGCCATACCTGCTGAGGCGGTACTTACCTGGGCGCCATAGTTGGACTCCATGCCAGTGACCTGCACAGAGGGACACGCCGGCGGCAGTTAGTACATGGCGGCAGTTACCTGCAGGTGAGACAGCGAGGAGGACGGCATCTTCTTCTTCTTCTTCTTCTTCTTCTTCTTCTTCTCCTTCTTCTTCTTCTTCTTCTTCTCCTTCTTCTTCTTCTTCTGAGAGAGAGAGAGAGAGAGAGAGAGAGAGAGAGAGAGAGA